AAAAATAATTATAACATATGCTAAATAAGAATTGATTAATTAAAAATAAATATAAAATTTTATCAATTAATTCTTACAATCTTATTTTATTAGAAAAAAAAAAAACAAATTTTACTAAAGTTGAATGGAGGAATATTAGACTGGAGTTGGATTTGACTCAAGTTTGAATTAGGGTCAAGCTCAAATTTGAGCTCAAAGCTAAACTTGCAAAATCGAGAGTCAAGTTTTAGTTGAACACAAAAATCGACTTGGCTCAACTCAACTCAATTTGATTCAACTTTGTATTAAAAAATAATTTTATATATTAAATATTTAAGATTTTATTTTTATTTTAATTTAAGAATATGATTAGTATACATTTCAATTCATCATACATTTTGATATTTGCTTGGTTTAGTCATTAAAATATAATTAAATATAATCAATTTAGTCAATTCCTATATACTATATATATGATTATATCTTTAAGTTTGTTCTACCTTTAATTTTAGATAAAAATAATAATTTTTTGATAAGTATGTTGTGTAATATATTAAAAAGAGAATATATCAATTAATGTACTTTAGTTTAAATTTGAGTAATTAGTTGAGCTCACGAGTTGAGTTACAGTTTGAGTTCACTAGTTAAAGCTCAAATTCGATCTTGCGAGTCCAATTTGAGTTTGTGAATTGAGCTCACAAGTTGAATTCAAGTTTAGTATATTTGAATTTGATGAGAACTAAAATTCAACTCATTATTATAGCATTGAACTTGAGTTTGAGTCCTAAGAAACTTGACTTGACTTGACTCATTTATGGCTTTATAATAATAGTGGTTATGGAATTTATTGGAGTGTTGATTAAGGTTCTATTTGGTATGGTTTTGAATTTTAATTTTTGGTTTTTTTAAATATATTTAGTTACTCTTATTTACTATAATTAGAAATCAAAATTTACTATAAAAATTAGAATTTATTAAATTTAATCCAAATATATAAAAAACAAAAACAAAAATGTTATTATTACAATTTCACATAAGATTGTAAGTTTAGAAAGATAATGTGGCATCGAATGAGTGGTTACCATATCATGTATGATCTCCTAAATAAAAATAATTAATCATGTAACAACATATTTTGATTGTGAGGTTGCAACACAACATAACATTGTAAGTATATCATTTTTGAAATTAAAAACTAAAAATCAAACATCAAAACCTAACTAAATGGATCCTATGGAACGTTTAAATTAGTTATTTAGATGTAAATAACAACTGATGATATGCAACTGTGAATGGTTCTTGTTTATTATTTCATCACACTAATACATCCAATTAGAGGCAAGAACTAATACCAAATTTAAATAACTACTATAAAAAAAAGCAAAAAAAAAAAAAAAAAAATCCCCTAAGAAAAAGACGTATGTTTGGTAGAACTTAAATGCAAAGTTGGTTATAAGCAAAATGTTGTCTCTAAAATTTAAAAATTGTTGGAAAGGAATATAAATTTAGCTATCTAAATTTTAGTTAAACTAATGCTACTAGCTTTTCAAAAACTTACTTTTAAGTAACTTTAAGAATCAAATTCAAATTGTCTCCAATGGTATATTTTCAAATTTGGTCGATAAAAAAAAAAAAGATTTTCAAATTTGTGAGAATAATTTTCTGCTAATAAACGTTGCCAAAAATGGTCATAAAAGACTTGTTTACGGTGAATAATGGGTCTGGCAAAACTAGATGATAAAATTTCACAACAGCAACAATATTAATGTATTAACAGTATTAATTTAGTGAATGCATATTAATTTACAAATTTAATTGAGTAAAAACAAAAGAATAAAAAAACAAACTATTATCACCTTATGTCGTGAAAAATTAGTGTTAACAACAAATCATCTTTGTTAAAAGAAAATCAAAAAAGAATAAATGGCCTAACCATTGGAAGACAATGAATAAAAGAAGTTATGCCGTTTGTTTGTTAGTTCTTATTAATTTAAAGTGGATATTTGATCAAACCAGGTGGTAGAAGCAGTGTTTACAAGCTAGGAACAGGATACCCAGAAACAAAAGCATGTTTGGAAAAAAGCCAATCAAATTAAGCGCACATGAATCTTGTTTTTTCTTTTTGCATAGCGTGCACAACAGAGAGACTCTGTTTATACAATTCAAAAAATTAACAAAGCATACATTCCATTATGTATATAATCACATCTCACTAACAAAGTATGATCCTTAGTTGTGGGGGAAATCTTTAGTCTTTTTATGTTATGTGATATGTAATGGAATTTCTAATCACAATGTAAACAGAGCTCCACACACCATCACAAAGATGATTGGCCTAGAAGTGAAATCCCACATTGAAAAATTAATAAAAGAAGAAAAGTGTGGCTTAAATATAGCATGAACTACTCTTCTTATTGTTAATTAATTATAGGTTAGATGCTCATTTTGTATTGAGACTCACATATTATCTAACATGATATTAGAGCAGGTCGATCAGAGCTCTAGTCCTCTCTTTAAGCCCCTTTTTTCTTCACGTCTAGACCTCATTCTCTCTTTGTGAGGGTGTGTGAAGCTCTATTTTGCGCATTAGGGGCTCTGAAGTTCATGTGACAAACACAGTGGGCTTGCATGTGAGAACATGTAAGTGAGAAAAATCTCACGTTGAGAAATAAAAGAGAAATATGTGGTTTAAATATATGACATGAGCTCTCTCATCTATTTCCAATTAATTTAGGTTGGATGCTGATATTATGTTAGATGCCCACATGTTATCTAACACAAATTATGATTAATATTATAGATTTAATGCATGAAACAGAGCAAGGTGGTTTTTAAATAGGTAGTGTCTTTTGGCAACAAATAATGGAGATAGAGATAAGCATTGGGTGCTGGGAAAATACAACCGAAAGTGCTAATGCCACTAGCAAATTTTGAATGAGGATTGGAGAAAGGATCTTTAAAAAATGGGTAAGTTTAATGGTTGCCAGGGAAAAAGCAAAAGATCTGAAGAAAATGTGAGAAAGACCACCTTCAAGCTAGGAGGTTGGTTGGCTTCTGTTTATTGGGGAAAATGTATTGGAAGATACGAATGATTAATTTGTTCAGTATAGCATGAATGAGTAGAGAAGGATAAGAAAGTATCAAGTGGCAACAGCTAGTTGCAACTACTATAATCTCATGGAGAGTATTGAATCTGTTCAAAGCAACTGAATCAATTTGAAGATCCACAGAAATGTGAGGCTGATATCTTACCAAGATATCATGGATCAGAGGAAGCATAAGAAAGTATCAAGTGGGAATAGCTAGTTGCAATTATTATAATCTCATGGGAGATACCAAATTTGTTCAAAAGCAACTGAATCGCTTCAGATCCACAGTCTAATGTACTCGCTGATGTCTTACCTAGATATCTTGTACTAGAAAACACTGTGGAACAAATTAAAAGGTGAAACTTATGGAGGAAAAGAATAACTCAATCTAATTGTTATTGCCAGTTAATTCAATAAACCACTTGTTTTAATTAAAAAAAAAAGTGTGGGCAAATAAACTAATAAATAACAGTAGTTTGATAAGAAGTTAGCTGAGTTGGTAAGCTTTTAATTTTAAAAATTTAAACAGTTTCATATTCCTTTGGCTTGAGCGTGATGATTAAATTTTGTGTGCTTTAATTTTCTAGAGGCAATAAAAAGTTTTGGATTTAAGTATTAGGTATGCAAATAAAATATATAAGGAAATGCGCAAAAATACCTTTTTATTGTACAATTGCAACGTAGAAATTAAAAGAAAAGACAATAATCAATATACACTCAATTTAATATATATATTTTTATTAAATATTATTTAAATAATACTTCTTTTGTTTAAATTTAATAATTTTAATTTGAAATTTTTTACTTTTTAAACATAAATTTAAAATAAAATTTGAATAAATTTTAAATAATTTATATAAATAGTGATTAGAATTTTTTAATATAATTTTTATTAAAGGTTACAGTCAAACTAAATTGAAACTGAAGTATAAAACTATAAGCCCCTTCCGTTAGAATATAAAGATTTGAGCCCCTCACCTCTTTGATTTAGAGAAAGAAGCCTAAAATTGACGGCTGAAGGTCACGTGCCTCACGTACTCGTTAGGACTCCGTCAGTCTTCTGCATGTCAGCGCCTTTTGCCATATTGGAGCTGATGATGTGGAAAACATTAAATGACCAAAAGGGCCTCTTCCCTTTTCCCATCACCCATTTTTTGCTCCTTACCCGTGACTGCCGCTGCACACTGTCCTTCTTTCTCACACCACCGATGTAGTCTCTTCCTTCTCATTACCCTTCCCTCTATTCCTCTTCCTCCTCCTATATTTCCCTTTTTCCCCTTGGCAAGTTTGCTCCCAATCGATTGCCCACCATGCAGATCTAAGATTGGGCTTATCGAATATCACTCCTTTCTTGTTGACACACCTTAGAGTAATTTTCTTCCAGATTTCACACCAATTTCCGAGCAAGGGAGGACCACCATGGTGGAGACTATATGTTAGTTGTGAAGATAGAGTAGAAGTTGTTCAGTTGTTTGTTACAAGATTTGGAAACATAGATCTGAGTTTTTTTTTTTTCTTGTTTTGTTATATTTTAATTTTTTAATGTCAATTAATTGGAGATAAATAAATGTTATGCTTGAGAAGATTATTGGATATCAAGAACATTTCTCAAGAATTGTTTTGTCTATTTTTACACGAAAATCCAGCCGGAGCTCACTTTCAGTGAAGAAAGAGATTGCCTGGAGTTTGAATTGGAAGGCCGCAGGTGACGAGGATGAAGATAAGTCTAATTTAGTCATTTACTTGTTTTCCACGCTGGCAACACCACGATGGCAAGAAATGAGTTGCGTGGAGCTGACATGGGAAGGCTGACGGAATCCTAACGAGCACGTGAGGCACGTGACCTTCGGCCGTCAATTTTAGGCTTCTTTCTTTAAATTGAAAAGGTGAGGGGCGAAAATCTTTATGTTGTAAAGTAAGGGGCTGACAGTTTTATAGTCAGTAAGGTAGAGGGCTGGTCATAGATTTTATTTTCGCCTATTCTCCAACGTGCCATTAGGGTTGTCCCTATATATAGATTTCTCGCATCGTTGTACATTGGCTGCGTCTTTATGACTTAAACCCTAATTAGGAGGCCTCCCTGTCTTCTATCTGCTGAAAAACCCTAGGCAGCTCGCCCACCTCCGCTCCCGTCTTCTCAACGAAAATGGTTCCTTTTCCTTCTAATCTCCTCTCTTTATCCATTATTGTAAACTATTGATTGATCGGTGCATACTGTATTAACGATTTAAGTTCTGATGTTGGTGATGTTGGTTTTGTTTTCAGACTCAAGAAGCCGTGAACCCGAAAGCGTACCCCCTTGCGGATGCGCAGCTGACAATGACGATTTTGGATCTTGTTCAACAGGCTGCCAACTATAAGCAGCTTAAAAAGGGTGCCAACGAAGGTTTTTAGCGTGCCCATTTGCTTGTTCATATGTTTTCGATGGATGAGTACTATTTGGTTGTCTGTTATTGTTATTAGGAAAAGCCTCCATGCTTTGATTTTGCTCGCTCACTCATACTGGTTTTCTTTTTTACTTGTTGGGTTTCAGCAACCAAAACCTTAAACAGGGGGATTTCTGAATTTATTGTGATGGCTGCGGATACCGAGCCTCTTGAGATTTTGCTACATCTCCCTCTGCTTGCGGAAGATAAGGTGATTAGAATACATGAGTTTGTTTGCTGGTTGTTGTTGTTCCTTTTTGTGTAACAAGTTATTGTTCTCATATGTTGCTTGTGTTGCCAAAATTGTTTTGGGAGGATAGTTAAAATTTAGGGATTTACAAACTAAATGTCATCAGCCTAATCCAGCTTATGGTTTATAATTTTTGTTAAATAATTCATATGCTCAGATCCTGCTTCCATTCCCGTTTGTGTTTTCTTTTTCTTTGGGTTTGCAGTAGTGCCCATTTACTAACCATTTTCTGCTCTTGCTGTCACTTAGTTCAGTTTTATTAGTCCTGTATTCACATCATATAAGTCTAAATTAAAGGGAAGTCTGTGACTTTGCAGATCTTGATATATGTTAGTCCTTATTATTGTTGTAAGTGTTACTTGATCTAGGGAAGTACGATGTCTACACTTAATTTAAGGACTGTCTTAGATTCATACCTTGAAATTGGATTATCCTTCAAAAATCAAGCTGGGTAATAATTTACCTGAATAAATTGGATTTTTGGTGGTAAAAAAGGGAAGAGAGAGAGGACTGGAGGAGAAGGAGAGACACCTGGAGTTCCCTCTTTTGGTGAGGTCAGAACCCATTTTCTTCCATTTATATTCTGCTGTTTATAGCAGAAACAATACAACATAACATAGAACATAAAGCCATAAACATGGAAGGGTGCAGACATTCACCCAACCAGAGAGGAGAAACCATGCTTTCTCTTTCTCAATTTTCATTCAATTTCTTCCTTTTTTTTGTAGAGGAAGGCTACACATAAAACAATAATATTTTTTTATCTAATACAATAATTATTAACTACCTAAAGCATTTACTAAAATTTTGAAGTTTGCTGCCATTTCTTGTAACCCATGTGCAGCTCCATGCTGCTGTCACTTTGTTGCTACTGTGCTGTCATGTTGTAGCATCATTTAGCAGATCTTATTCATTGCATTTTCAGCTTTCATGCCATAGCTCCAACAATGGCTTTTTCAAGTGGTTACCATGATCAAGTAATCACATAGTTAACCGTCATATTCCAACTTTTGCAGAATGTGCCCTATGTATTTGTCCCATCAAAGCAAGCACTTGGCCGAGCATGTGGTGTCACTAGGCCTGTAATTGCTTGTTCTGTGACTACGAATGAGGGAAGCCAGATGAAAACCCAAATACAACAACTCAAGGTACTCTCCTTTCTCTTTTGTTTGTTATATGGATTTTATGCTTTTTATACTAGTTATCTTTAATTTGATTCTATATCTTAGACTCTGTCTGTGTGATAATGTGATGCAGGATGCAATTGAGAAGCTCATGATCTAAAAGCTTTGTGAAACTTGGTACTCGGTGTGATAGGCCTCTTGGATTGTGGTGGCCGCTCCTCTAGGCTTTGACTGATGAAGTTGTGCTACTAGCCAAGCTTAATGTTTGATGTTTATTACTGTTATTGTGTCATATGTTGGTTTAGTTTGCAAGCTGAGAAAGAAACTCCTTGAATCCCTGTTTTACTAGGACTCAGTTTTGAATGATGCCATATAACTTCTTGTTTGAGCTTGTTTAATTTGTTTTCTTTAATTTGATGGATTCAGCCTTACAAAAGGTGTTTTTACTTTTTAATCATGGAGTAGCTTGATGGTTCTGGTTCTTTAGGTTGGACTTAATCATCCTGACCTAAATCTTGATATAGGAGCTCAAAGGAGACTAAGGGGTAAACAGTCCCTCTATAATTCCATTTTAGTTTCTCTATTCATTTTTATTAGACCTAGTTTTTCTTTTTAAACCTTTGGGGCATCAATTATGGACAAAATTTTAATGATTTTTATAAACAACAATTAAAATTTTTTTTTGTCTTTATATA